CCTAAACCCTAAGCCCCGTAAACCCCAAACCATGAGCCCTTAAACCTTAAACCCCTAAGCCCTAAACCACGAGGCCTTAAACCCTAAACCCTACTAAGCCACCTAAACCCTAAACCATGAGCCCTCAACTATACCCCGGTTTCTGAAACTGCCTACTCTGAAGTTAGGGGGTTTTGGATATCCGCGATTTCACGGTTTAGGAAAGTGCAGGGTTTGGTGGGGGCAAGAGAGGAAGGCTTTTAGTTTCGGAGACTTTGGACTCAGGGTTTAGGGTTTAGGGTTTAGGGTCGAATATAGGGCCTTAATAACTACCTATATGTTTCCTTAGGGTTCCTTGTTATATTAGCTATTCTTTAAAGCAGCCCCAAACCCTATTCCAATTATTGAGGCCCCTACAGAAGGGGTTAGGATTCAGGGTTCAGTGATGCAGAGCTTTGGGTTTCTGAAACTCGCCGAATTTGGGTTTCGGGTTTGAAGGAGTCGAGAGTTTAGGGTTTAAGGTTTAGGGCCGTAGATCCCTGGTTTATCAACACTCTTCCCCTTTTGCGATTGTACGAGTAGAGTAGAAGAGAGTAGAAGGGATCTTCGTGTTGGGCCCGCAAGGAAAAAAGGTTTATTGATCTGGGATCTACGCTAGGAGTGACGAGGATGTAGGGTCTGATATTGAAGGGATTCGGTTATCTGTTCGCAGGCATCCTGTATCCAACCACCTTCTTGCCCGCCTGTCTGGCACGCTGAGAAAGTGCAGGAAAGTAACATACGAAAAGCCACAGAAAGCATGCAAACATCCAGAGCCACTGCCCAGAGACAGGGATTCATGTCTGTGATTGCCGTGGTGACCCGTTTCAGTGATGGCGATGGTGAAGATGCAGAAGATGATTGCTCGTCTCTGTTTTGAAGATGAGTGCCGTTTCCATCCTGATGAATGGTGATGATGATGATGACGGGGAGGATGGTCATGGTGTTGACAAGGATGATGCGTTTCATACTTCTGCCATCTAATTCTGTCTTTGTCCTCTAAAGAGCCCTAATTAAGCCTAGACTAAATCCTATACGACACTCCTGGCAGGCAGCACGACGCGGTATCGACCTACAGCCGTGCGGAGAGGCCGACAACGTGGTTTGCCGGAGCGAACGATCCTATAGTGTGTGTGTGTGTGTGTAGACCAAGAGAAAGCTCGAAATGCAAAGTTTCCAGGACCTTTCGGTTTCGGGTTTTAGGGTTCACATGGATTTATAGTAAACCCACCCCAATCAAACCCTAAACCCTAAAACCCACCCTAAAGGTCAAGCCGAGTTGAAACTGTGTCACGCGACCTTCAACCATGGATCCTCGCCTGGCATGTCTGAGTTGTGAGAGCGTAAAACCCACCCTAAAGGTTTTCATGGTTGAGAGTTCAGCTGCTTTCTGTTGCCAGGCGCCGACGCGCGAGAGCCTCCTGGCCTGCCTCTTGCAGGCTGGCTCTGTCCGCTTCATCATAGGGGGCCTTAACGGTTAGAATAGGGTTTTTGGAGCTGGGGGGTTCTATGCGTAGTACAATCATATAAGGGTAGTAAGGATATACAGTTGCAAATTATTCCGGACCCTGATTTATTTGAGAGCAGACGGTTGGAGAATATGATTTCAGAATAGTGGGCTGAATAGCATGCAGGAGCGCACCTCTGTTCGCTATCGCGAGGTGTTGGAGTCGTTGGTTCGGGTGGAGCATGTGGGACTTGAAGTCTAAGGGTTTCGTCACAGGAACACCGTCTGTTCAGCCTGCATCACCAAGATACCCTAAACCCCAAACCCTAAACCCTGCCCAATACCTTAAACCGTCGACTCATCCCACGAGCCCTAGGAAGCAGAGAAGTGGACTCCTGAATTGAAACTCCGAGCCATTTTTCGGGGGTTTCTTTAGGTGCATAGACTTTTTCATTGACAAAACCTCGTAAAGAAAAGGATCGGCAAACCTAGCCTACTAAAGGCAAAGACTTAAACAATCCGCAAAGCCCAAACCGCAACCGTGCAACAAACACCAAATCCAAAAGCTTGAGCTGTTATCTTAAGGCTGCCAAACGGAGGGTGCGGTTGCGTGTGCTTGGGAACGCTCTTACGTCCGAAGCCCATGAACCTGCAAACTTCGCATCCCAAGATGCCCCAGGGCTCCGAAGCTTTGCAACATAAAAATACTTCTTGCAGGCTGGGGTTGTTTATGTGCTTGGATGACTTGGTGACTTGTAGAGTAGGCGAGACTTGCGTGGCTGTGCCGAGTGGCAGAATCGAAATGTGCCAAAGCCCAGAGAACCCCTCTAAACCCTAAGCCCTAAACCCCAAAACCCCAAACTCTAAACCCTAAACCCCTAAACTCTCAACCCTAATTAAGCCCTAAACCCTAATCTTGAAATCCCCTGGACACTAAACCCCCAAGCTGTCACGAACCCCAGGAGAAAGGCTTGCAGTCTTTGAGGCTCTGAACGCCACAATCCTTGGGCCGTGCGATCCGAAAGCCCTATCCCTATCCCCATGACAAGCCATAAAACTATCCCAAACCCCAAACACTAAATTTCTAAGCCTTAAACCCTAAAGTCCTAAACCCTAAACCCCAAACCCTAAAGTCAGAAAAAACCCAAGAGTCCGACGCCCTAAAAACTAAACCATAAACCCTAGTTACTAGTTAAAGTCCTAAGCCCCGAAGCCTCGGCGAAACCTTACAACCCCGATTCCTTATTGGCTTTCATCGTTCAGGGTCCGGGGTTTAGGGTTTGGCCTTGAACATAAGGGCCTTAACAGTTAGAATAGGGTTTGGGGTATATAATACTATAATGTCAATCAGGAGCCCCCCAAACCCCTATTCGAATCAATAAGGCCCCTACATTAGGTGGGGAGTTCTCTAAATTAGCATCCCTTTCGGGTTCTTTTTTATAACGGTGCCGTACTACCTTTGGGACCTAAAATCGGGACCCTAATTTAGAGGACTATCCATATAATGCCCTAGTAGAAACCCTTATGCATCCCATTTAAGGAGCCCTAAATTAAAGGGGGCCCGATTGCAACCCTTATAGATCCCTTCTAAGGAGCCCTAAGTTAAAGGGGCCTTGTTTTTAACCCTAAACCCTAAACCCTAAAACCCTAAAACCCTAAAACCCTAAGCCCCATTTCAGGAGCCCTAAATTAAAGGGGCCCTGTTTTGGTCAGGTGAAGAAGTGGGAGTCGCAGCCTTCAGCCGAGCTGCGGGCCGAGGCGCTGAGGGTTTAGTCTTTAGGGGCGTAGGGGTTTAGGTGATTTAGGGTTTAGTAGGGGTTAGGGTTTAGGGTTTTTTAGGGGTCAGGGGTGTAAGGGTTTAGGGGATTTAGGGTTTAGTAGGGTTTAGGGGTTATATAGGGTCTAGGGTTTATTAGGGTTTAGGGGTCAGCGTTTATTAGGGTTTCCGGGTCAGGGTTTTGGGTTCATTAGGGTTTAGGGTTTAGGGTTTATCAGGGTTCAGGGGCCAGGGTTCAGGGTTTAGAGTCTGGAACAAGCAGACTAGTCAGTGCTAAAGAAGCAGGCGCACCGACATCTCTGCGTGAATATATATTAAACAATATTAGGGTTATCATTATTTTTCTATCATATTATATGTATTATAATTTTTTGATATCACTATAGTATAATTATTATTAGAATAATTGTTGTTATTGCGATTATTACTATACGTATACACCCAAAGATGAGGCATAAGTAAATAACTTATTACGTAGGTAGACAGTGTGGTTTGGTTGTTGTGTGTGATGGGTTTGTCCCAAGCACGGAGAAGGGTTCACCTGCTTCCAGGGACTTGAGTAGGGTTTAGGGTTTAGGGTTTAGGGTTAAGGTTCCAAGAACTTGAGTCGGGATGGTGAAAGGGTTGAGGCCGTCGGCGTTTAGGTCATGTGGCGGTTTGAATAATTGCCTTTCCCCCCTTTTTGACCCCATAAAAGTATACTGGAGTATACTGGAGTGTACCCAAAGATTATTCTAAGTACCAATGCAAGAAACAGGCATTTTGGCTTCTGGCTGCAAAGGGTTGTCAAGATCTTGCGGTCTTCGGGTTGTGGGTTTCAGTTTTACGCCATTTTCGGGCGCCCTTGGGCTTAGGGTTCGTATTGTCGGAGTGTTGGCCTTTAGGGTTTGGGGTGCAGGGCAGAATACAACTCCACACACCCCTCACAAATCCCATAAACTTTCATAAATCCCCACAAGAATCACCTGCAACCCTAAACCCTAAACCAAAAGCCAAAGAAACCCTAAACCCTAAACCTAAAGCCAAAGAAACCCTAAACCCTAAACCCTATTGGGTGTGCTTTAGCAGGAAGCTGCGGGCTCCGGGCCTCTTCTTAGGCAGGTTTTTGCTCCCAGGATGTGTCAGACAGACCTTCCAAAATCCTTTAATTCAGGAATAGGTGCCTTGAGCCCTAAACCCTAAAGCGTAAACCCTAAACCCAACTATGGTGCTGTGGGGTCTCTAGTCTAAGCTGATGTAGGAGAACTCAGGAATATGTAGCTTCAGTTATAGTAGGATCCCCATATGGTTTATAGACTATTTCAGGAACCTGGACAGACGCTGCATACAGCCCAAGCCGAGGTTACGCCTAAAGCCATAAAGCCCCAAACCGGAAATCCTACTGATCACATGGCTTTGGGTTTAGAGCCGTAAACTCCCTAAACTAAAACTGCACAGCCGAACATCTTGTGTCCTTAATATCTATCTCCGAGTGTGAGTGTCAAAAAAATAACTTACCTATAGTCTCCATTGTATGGTTTAACCAATTATAAAAAAGGATTGTATAAGGTATCCCCAAGAAGGAACTACAATGGAGACTATATAGGTAAGCTTCTTCAAGCCCTCAGCTTCGCACCCAAAGCATGACAGGCACTACGTCGCGGGCTTCCCGGCGAGGCGCCGAAAAGGGGGCGGTGTAAGGCTGTAAGGCTCAAAGCCTAGTATTTAGGGTTTAGGGTTTAGGGTTTAGGGTTTAGGACAGTAGCAGGGTTCAGTCGTGCCTGTTTTCTCGTTTGGTGATACTCAGTGCTTCTTGGCACTAGGTGACGGTCTTCTTTTGAGGGTGCTGATACGGCGTTTACCGAGGCGTGGTACCAAGCATTACCCGGCAACACCCTAGATGAAAGAGAAAGGAGTTCTTCCTTGAAATACGTCATTCAAAGCATGGGCCTTGTTGTCAGCAGCTGGTCATGTAGAAAACCTACTGGTGAAGTTATCTTACTTCTCATCTCTTCTTCAACGGCATGGTTCTGGCACATTTCAGACTCTTCCATCCCCGGCTTGACCAAGAACTATATAAGACTGCATCACCTGAGTTTTGTTGTACAGGAGGTACCTACCTTGTAGGACCTACAGATGTCTTGTCATAGCTTGTTTAAAGAACCAAGAGGTGTCCGGGTGTGAGACTCTGCGTGCGTGCAAAATAGCCGCCTGGCTTTATTATTCCCTCTGCTGTATAGATTATTATGCGTCGAAGCTCTTTTCTAATAGCTCAGGCCTCTACAACCCTAAACCCTAAACCCTAGCTCAGGCCCCTACAACCCTCAACCCTAAACCCTTAACCCTACCCTACATTAGGCTTATGTCGGCACCTCCATAAGCCAAGAAAGTCCCCATTGGCCAGTCATCGCCGGATCGCGGGGAGCTTTTGGAGCTGCTGCTTGTCCTGTTTAGGTTGTTTAGGGTTTAGGGTTAGGGCATTTGACCCCATTTCTGCGTAAGGACAGACGGGTTAAACTCCATAAACCCTGAAGCTCAGAACCCTAATGCCATAAACCTTGGAACCATTGCTTGGAGAGTTAGTTGCAGAGTTGCCACGTGTTTCCGAAGTGTTGCAAGGAACCCTTAAAGGAACCTTTTCGGTCCGGTGCAGGTTTTAGGGCTTTCGGCGATTATGGGGTAGGGGTGAAGTTCAGGGCTTACAGGGGTTCTTGGGTTTTGTGAGTGTGTTGTCATCTTGGCTCGCGAAGTGAGGGAAAGCTTGGAGTACACCGCTCCGAGACGGTCAGCACCAAATTGGTGAAAGCCGGTAAATCCGAGACGGAAAGCCAGCGTTCTCGTGACACCCGAACACGTCAGGCATCGCCAATAAAACCCCAAAACCCCAAATCCCAACCGATCCTTGAGACAGGTTCCTGGATGTTATCGTGTGCGGGGTTTGGGCTCTGGTTCAGGTGTTAGAGCCTCTGGCTGCAGAGCTGCCGATATTGTGCGTCGTTATCACGAGCCCCCGAAGAGATTTTCAGATCGTGCAGGTAATGGCTAGAGTAGACTTGTGTCGGCCATACATGCTGACTTGATGACTTGATGCAGAGGTGTAGTCTTTTGCTCATCTTCGTTTGTTTGCGGGTTCGGTCTTTCGAAGCCTCGGGCTTCATCTTTATGGACTTCGGTGTATTTTCGCGATGTGACGGGGTGCAGCAGCTTTGCAAACGATTGGGCAGAGAGTCTCGAACATGGCCCCAACGCGTCCAGCCGAGTTGCTCTAAAGGCGAAAGCAACCCGAAAGAGGAAACCTAAGACCAAAGCTCTGCAACAGCAAGCCCGCACCCGAATTCTGACTCGTGGGTCATGATGCATCTTTGTACAGTAGGGTTTAGGGGTTTAGGCTTTAGGGTTTACGGGTTTAGGTAAAAGGGCCAGTCACCACACTACACACACACACACGCACACGTGTTCGGGGAATGCTGAAAGCCCAAGGACGCTCATCGGCCGATCGCCCATGCTCATGATCATCTTCACGGTGACGAACCCTCGCAAACGATCGAGTTGGATTGGCGGTCAAGCCCTAAACTCTAAACCATCCCAAACCCTCTTGTTAAACCCTGAAGTCCAAGTTCGACGTCCGCCGCAACGAAGGCTCCTGCAAGACCTCTGTTGGGAGCACATGGGCCAGGAAGCGCTCGCAGAGGCGCCCTTACCAGAGAACGACCCTAAACCCTAAGGAACCTTTTTTAGGGCTTAGGGTTTAGGGCTTGGGGTTTAGGGTTTAGGGGTTTAGGGTTTAGAGTTTAGCAGGCTTCGGAAACCTATGGAGGTGCACCGTAAGCCCTCAGACTCAACCTTTCAACGTTAGGCGGTGCTGCAGTCTGCCAACAGCTTGCACAATACCTTGGCATCCATTAACTACTAAGTGCTGTGTAATCATTGCAAGGACTACTCTAACACTGACTTGTGAGTCTTAGTCTTCAGCCTTCTCCCCCAAACCAAAATCTCAAAGCCTTGAAACCAGACCCTGCCTCAAACCCCCCTTCAGATCTTTCCCTAAACCCTAGGCCTTAAACCCTAAACCCTACTTTTAGAGATTTCGTTGTCAGATCCCTAAACCCTAAACCCTAAGTCCCCCTCAACAAAAAAACCTAAACCCTACCTTAGGGAAACCCTAAACCCTAAACCCTAAACCCTACCTTAGGGAACCCTAAACCCTAAACCCTAAGCCCTCAACCCTTCGCTTTTCAGATCTTTCCGCAGGAGTGCAGGGCTCAGGGCATCGCTCAGCCGGAGGCACAGGACTGGCCGGAGGGCTTCATCTCGTCGGGCTGTTGGGGCTTAGGATTTAAGGTTTAGGGCTTAGGATTTGAGGTTTAGGATTTGGGGCTCAAGGTTTAGGGTTTAGGGCATAGGATTTAAGGTTTAGGGTTTAGAATTGAAGGTTTAGAGCTTGGCTGAAGGGATTCAGGGTTTAGTGCATTGCAGTCGCTCAAAAAGGGCTTGGTTTTAAGGGCTTGGGGCTTAAGGTTTTGGGGTGTGTATAAGCTCTTCCTGAGGATATTCTATGAGAGGTTCAGTCGGGTGTGAGTCATGAGGGTGTTAACAAGGTTAGGGAGCAATCTAGTGGTGATATTCAGGATGGATTGCCCTGTCGACTTCCCTTGAACGTACCACCCTGACCTGCCTTGAATAAATAGCAAAGGGCTTTGGGGCATAATCTACTATAGTCATAATAAGAAATCCCCCGAAATGACTATTAAACAATGCATCACCCAAAATAGCATAGGTAATCGTTAAGGCCCCTCGATTACAGCACCTGGCCATGTTGAATCGAAGCAGGAGTTCGAAGACTCCAGGGAGCCCCCAAGCCTAATATAGGGGCCTCAATAATTACCTATATTGCTTGGGGTTTTTTGTAATTGTACGTACTATAAAGGACCCAAAAACGCCCCCTAAAATAAGCCCAAAGCCACAGCATGAGCGCCGGTCTCTTGATGTCCGAGTTCACTTGGAGCAGAAGAGCGACAATAACACTACTGTAGTGACAGAAGTAGTAGACATCGGCTTGCGGCCAGTATCAGAACAACGACTGCAACTGCGGGGCCTACGCCCTGCGCTGTCGGTACTGGTTTCGGATGCTGCGTGCCTAAAGAGCCCTTGCAGGAAACAACTTTGCTGCTTCGTGCAATGCGCAGCCGGTTGCGCCAGGTCACGAGACTGGTGTGCTGGGTTCTACCTAGAGGGTCATATCCTACCCCTTTTCTAGGGCCTAGGGTACCTAATCTTATGGTTAGATACAAGAGTAGGTACCCTAAGTGAGGGGTCGGGTCGAAGATTCGGCTTCGAGTATTTATGGAGGCGAGGCCAGACTTGGTGTTTTGTTCTGCCGTTTTGGGCTTGTGAGCCAGCAGGCAGCACCAGTCATTTTGAACCATGCTTCCACTAGCCTGACGCGAGCATCGTTCATTCATAAGACTGGCGGATAGCCGTGCAGAGGCCCGGTTCTCCTCACTGAGTCATACCACCGCCAACTTTGCAAACAGAAGCCCTCCCGAACTTGCTCGCGAAGTTCGGGTTCGTATACTTCGAAGCTGACAAGTAGGGGCTGTCTGTGGGAATATCAGGCTGCTGGGTGTAAACTTTCCGGGCTGTCCTACATTGAGGCAACTCAGGGATGCTATCAACTGTCTCCTTCTCACTTGGTAGGACTGTCATCACCTTAGGCTTCAAGCATATGCTTTAGCTTCTACAAGGTACACCGGAGCATTCCTGCAGTCTCGGAGAGCTTTCAGCCCTAGTCTATGAGCCAGCAGTGCTAGTTTTTGCAGGCCCTGCGCTGGTCGACGCTGGCTGCCTGGCTGGCTGTTTGTTTAAGTTACATCTAAGTTACATCTCCTGTTGTATACCCAAAGTCACCAATGTTAAGAACGGTGGCGGCATCATTGAAAGTGATGCTTGCCATCATGACGGCGATAATGGTGACGATGATGATCATGATCAACATCATGATGCTGTTGATGTTGAGGGCAAATATGATGCTAATAATGTTGATGGTGGTAATGATGATCATCATCATCGTCCTGGTGATGTTGATGGCGATGATATTGGTGGTGTTGGTGATCCTGACGATGACTTGTACTAGTCAGTGTTTTATGCAGCAGCGGCTGCTCGAAGCCAGTCTGGTTCAGGCCTTATGAAACCCTGCCGGCCTGACGTTCCTCCCGATGACTTGAGCTCGCCCGGAAAGACCCTAAGCCCAAACCCCTGCGAGAGTCCCCCGCCATGACTAAAAACCAAAAAAAAACTAAACTCTAAATGCAAACGCCTAAATGCTGAGCCCTAAACTCTAGCCTCCACACCTAGCTGCCGCATCTTCCACGCACTGCAGCCGCCGAGCATTCATGACTGGGCTTCGATGTCATTCAAAAAGGGGCCTCATGCAGAGTAATCAGTACCAGCCATTTCCCATTATCGGGTTCCGCAATATATGGTTCGAAAATGCTACAGCTTCCCCAAAGCCAATCGCATCGGACTTTGTTGTTGTCGGCCGGAGAGACACTCCGACACACTTGCGCCGAGGACATGGAGAAGTTGCGAGAGGCTTGCGAAATGCGGCACATGCCTACTGAAGGCCCGGGCTCAGTGCTTTGCCCTTGTTCTCAGCCCTCAGCTCTCCGATCCGAGCCCCGAAGGCCTTAAGCCTTACCCTAACCCCCAGGTACCTGTACTAGAGCCCCTAAGGCCCTATATAGTAGGTACCTGGAGGGTTAGGGTTATATCTTCGCAATTAAACAGTTTACCCTCGAACCATGTACCCTCGAAGCCCTATCAGTGCCGAAACCATCTAAAACTTTCAATTAAATCAACACATCATCTGCTAGTTGCTTAAAAAGCTGGTCGTAACATCCGACAATACCTGAGCCTAAACCCCTAATCCCCCAAAGCCTCGAATTTAAACCCACAAGCATGAACCTTAACCCTTGAAGCAATCCCCGAACCCCCCCCCGCCCCCCCTCCTTCCGAAAAAAAATCGAAGCCTCGACCTCCACGAAGGCTGCACGCGCTCGCAGCTCTTGGACGCCTTGAAGACCTTCAAGGCCTCGGCAGCAGGGCTTAGGGTTTAGGCAAGTTTAGGGTTTAGGGTGTAGTGTGTTTAGGGCTTAGGGTCTTTACTATCGCTTTGCGGCTTGAAAGGGCCCTAAGTACTTATGTGGGGAGTACTTACCCAAACCATACTCGTAATTCCTAGTATAGAAGCCGCCCTACTTTCTACTACGTAGGTACTTGGGACCCTGTGGGTTTAAGGATGACTGTTGAAACCCAGAGTTGTGACCACCCTAAACCCTAAACCATATGCCTGCTGTCAGTCCAAGCTTCAAGTGGGCGAGAGCGGGAAAGAGGGGGAGAGAGGGAGGCTGGAGCGAGAGTTAGAGCCAGATCGAGAGAGAGCGGGATCGTGCCTCCAACGGGGGGAGAGAGAGAGAGAGATGTATATATATATATATATATATGTATGTAATTAGTAAAGATGTGCCGTATGCTGTTTGTGCCGTCAAGCTGCACCTGCATGGGTGTTTTCTTGAGTAGAGAGGTTCAGAGGAGTGCCAAAAAGGCGGGGGGATGAGGCCAGAATTGGGTTGTAAGTGTAAGGGGGGGCTCTCTACAGGAAAGCCTTGAACACACCTTGCAGTTCCCTGCCGCAAGCATTTGGGACCCAAAGCCAGCTTACTCAATGACATATTGGGGCGTTGGGCGGGCCGATGGCCTGAGGGTCGGACCGCGACCCCGACGCCCAGCAGAAAGAAAGACAGAAATCGAGAGAGTGAGTCCTGTTCGCGGAGCTTACATGGGGTCAGGGATTGGGGTGCAGGACCTAGGGACAGAAGGCATTGGAGATTTGGCTTAAGATTTGAGCAGCTCACAAGAAGACCAAATCACCATCTGCCCTACTACAGGGGCCTCAATCGTGAGTAAACTTATGCCCGTAGAATCCAGCTATCATGAGTATCCCCCGGAAGCCCTAAGCCCTAGACACCCAGAATCCATCATGGTTACGCTTCTTTTCATACACCGAAGGCCTATTCTGCGATCCTTGGTGGTCCCAGAGTCCGAATGTCGGATAGCTGATCTTCGGCAACCCTCGAATCGTCGAAACCCCACAATCATCTGTACGAGACTAGAATATACGATGCTGGACTATACTGGACAGAGCTACGTGGACATAATTTAAAAATATATTATATAGTATCACATCTATACTAGACAGAACTATGTAGACATATTTAAAGATATATTATTACAGTATCCCGTCTCGTCTAAGATGCTCTAGTATACTCTACTGCCGAAGCTCCAGGCTCCAGACCTGAAGGTTCAGTTTACATTCGGACCCATACCAAAACCCGTAAACCCTAAACCCCTAAACCCCTAAACCCTAAACCACTAAACCCTGAACCACTAAACCGTAAACCCCTAAAACCCTAAACCCTAAACCCCTAAACCCTAAACCCTAAACCCTAAGATCAACAGTTTCTTACTTCGGCTATGATCTGTGGAGGCTTTCACGATGCAAGGCACTTTTAGCGCTGGGTATTGAACGA